AAATGACTAATTTTTTTCATCTAAAACATTATTTCATCTGGTATCAACAAGACGAATAACTGTAAAGTTATTACACCAAAAATTGATAATCAAACAAAAATTAAATTTGAACGGGAAATACAAAAAATTATTAGCATTAAAATAAAAGAATATAAAGAATTAACATCAATTCAATCACCTGAAAGGATAAAAATATGCTAATATGTTAATCAAGCTGATTTTCTATTTCCGGTTCATTAAATTTAAACTTTTGAAAAATAGTTAAATCTTCATCCTCGCTAAATCCAAAAGATTTTCTAAATTTAGATTCTAACATACTTCATTGCATATTTTTACCTTTTTAGGTGACTAAATTGATATTAATTCTTCATATTCTTTTATTTTGACGCTAATCATTTCTTGTGTTTCCCTTTCAGCCTTAATTCTTGTTTGACTATCCATTTCTGGTGTAGGTAAAAATTTTACAGTTATTCGTCTTGTTGATACCAGATGAAGTAAAGTTTTTTTTTCAATAATAAATGCATTTCTAAACATTCTTTTAATTTTGATTTTTTATAAATTATTATAAATTAATTGAATAATTTTATGAAATGTAATATCTTGTTTTATGAATGATTAAAATCAGAATAATTAAATTATTTGTTGTTGGCATTGACAACTATTGTATACACAATTATTTGCTTTTAAATTGACTGTATTATATTTCATATAAATTAATATAGGAAAAAATATTTATAAGTTATAATTTTAACTTGCAAGGCTCTAATATTGTATGTTAAATTAATGTACCTTGTAATACAATAAGTATATCTATATCATAATATAGATATTTTTTTAATTTTTATTATTTTTTAATTTGAATAGGATTAAATATTCCTTGGTTTGTGAACCAATTTTATTTATACATAAAACATTTTTACTCTAATTATCTTTTTGCTTTAAAAATTATAATTTTGTCCATGATTTAATTTTAAAGTAATTAATGGTAATAATTTTCATAAATTATTTTACAAATACTAAAAAAATCGATTTCTCCAAAGCGTTACATTATTAGACTTAAAAAGGACGTTTAAATAAAATAAAACAAATAAAAGAATTTAATTTATTTTGAGAATTATAGGTATTAGTTTTTACTAAATAAATATGCATTTCATATTGTTATTCTCTAATGCAGGGGTCGGAAACCTTTTGAACCACGCGGGCCATATTTTTTTTTCAAATGTTTATCATGAGCCACATTAAAAAAAAAAATTTTACACATAATATTATGATATATACTAATTATTGTATTGCTATTATATTTTTGATTATGTTAATAGAAATATGAGTGTAAAAAATATGAATTTTACTGGAAAAAATTGCTTTTAAGAAAAAATTTAATTTTTTGACAATTTAAAAATAATGGCTTACCTTTGTTTTCGATGAAAAAGTATAAATCAACCCAAAAATTATTAAAAAAAACGATGTTCATAACAAATTTTTCTTTTTTTAGTCGCCGTAATGTTTGGATTTACTTGTAAAATTAAACTATTACAAACGCAAATAGTCATACGTACGGGCGTAATCACGATGTAATACTAATTTCTATAAACGCAAAGTAACTATGACCATAGATTAAATATATTAAATACATAGATTAAATATATTTAAAATTTTAATTTTTAAATATATATAAGTATATTTAATTTATCCTATGACTGAGCAGTGCAGCCATCATTATCTTCGACTCCGATTAGATAATAATAACAATTTTATAAATTAAACTGACTATTTAACTATATAGAATAAACATTAACTATTAACGATTAGATAAGATTTTATTAATAAAAAAAAAAGAAATAAATAGTATTGAAAATTGTATGAAAAATTGAATGAAAAAAACAAAACACAAAAATTAACCGCCTTTGTGCGGGCCGTAAAAAATTGCTTCACACTGGCACACTGGCCACGGGTTACCAACCTGCTCTAATGCATTGGACAAATACCAAATATTGTATGGTCAAAATATGATTAATATCTACAAGTAAGTCATACATTTTTTATTTATTTAATTATTGGTGGCGTACAATTGATAATCATAGTGTATCAGCATAAAATAGACATGGACATGGTTTTATTATTCTTTGCCAGTATAACCATAGTCTGCGGTACAATCATAAAGTAATATACTTGCACTGTGGGTATAATGTAAGATATGTATATTATATTTCATAGTATAAGTTCAAAGTCGGCTTATAGTTATCGTACAGAATATTATATATATTATCCCTTTATTGTACAGAATATTTTTATCATTCCTACAATTGTCGATGTCATCGTATAGGACCCACATACGAACTCAAAATGTATTCGGAACTTGGTATATATTATAATTTACATTAATAAATATTACCTATATTATAATTCAATAATGAAATTATGACTGAATTTAGATAACAAATAAAAAATAGATAAAAATCGATTTACATTGATAATACATTGATATTGTTATTAATTCACGTTTTTTCTTTGAGCTACGCAGTAATATTATATTCCGATTTATTTCCAAAAACTCGACAGACTGGGGTTTCATTGGACAAAAAGCGTTTGTTTTGTCGAGAAATCTTTTATTATAGCACAATTACATAGATGCAAAAAATGTAATAGTATTACTTTGAATATAATCTATCTCTTAATTTTAGCATTAATTTCAAACATTAAAATTTAAAATAATCCTCACTAATTAAAATAAAAAGAAACTCGTCCCTCTGTTCAATTTAATAACTCGGTGCAGAAAACTTTTTAGGAAATTGTCATGTTTTTTTTTTTTTTTTTTTTGGGGGGGGGGGGGGTAATTGGATCTGTTTTATAATTAATATCCCGTACACCAATTATAAATATAGATCCGCTTTTTATAGTTCCATCATTCTATTAACTTGATTTGTTTTATTTTTATATTTCCTTCTTGAAATTATGCACGCTACAATAATCAGTCAAATGATATTTTGACTTTAAATTATGTGTTAAATAAAATTTTCCCATTTCAACTAAGTTGCATCCAATGAAATTTTTACCATAATAATCTATGTAATAATAAACAAATATATTATTACTATAGAAAATTAAACATAACATTATATTCTCTGTCTACGTGAATATTTTTTATTACCCTAGTATAAAAATTAAAACACAAGACTAGCACATTTATTAGTAACATCCTGTAGTGCGTTTGACGTCATTGGTCATACTCGCACAACATTAAATACCGCAGAGACAAAAATCAATAATCGACTAGAAAATTATTTCAAAAGCTTGTACCCATACGTATAATATGAATAATTATTATTCAACGCGTGTATTGCAGTTTCCTAAGAAGTGGAAAATAATAAAAGAAAAATATTTATCCAATTGCAAATATTACCAAAATTTACGTAGAAAACTCCAGCATTTGATGGCATACTGTTTTGAAAATAATAGCAATTATTTACAATTGTAAATATAAAATTTATATTTTTTAAAATGTTACTGGTGCTGTGATATTTAAAAAGTTCACGTATTAATGAGCATTTTCATTGAAAACTTAATTGTCGTTATCCTTTAATTCAACCCTTGAAGAAATTGCTAAACCCATTGCTGTACGATGAATCATGGGAACCATGATTCACATAAATGAATAACAATGTCTAACACAAACAACACGAATATCACTCTTATAATATTACTATGAGAAATGTATCTATTAATAGTAACCAGGTACTATGACTGCGAACAGTAGTAATTACAATTGTTACGAGTAATAATTATCGAATTAATAAAGTCTATAAAAATAAATAACAGTCATAATAGGTAATAAAAAATTATATGAAAAATAAGGCAAAAGGAAAACTGGTGTGGTATGATCAAGTACGAACACAAAGGGGGATTTTAGGAGTTCAACCTCCCCACCTCCGAAATTCTGGAAAATCATTAAATATATTATTAAAGAGTTATAGTGGTTTATAGATTATTTATGTATGAAAATCTACAACTTATAACCCACCTCAAACATTTTTTTGTATATGCGCCTGGGTGATAATTGATTCATAATTCTATTAATATAAGGAAGAGTAAAAAATATGATGCTATACAAAATTATACTAATACACTAATACCTTGTTTGGATAAAATGTTGTGGACTATCATGATCCACAATTTTTGCGATTCCAAAACGCCGATTGAAATTAACGATAATAGAAAAATCAAAAAATGCAACAAATATTGTAAAAACATGGTAATTTACGATTATGAGATAAATAAGATTGTAATTTGTAATTGTTGGCAAATCGTTCTATTCATTGCACGCCCGTCGTTATTAAACACGAACACCAGTATTAATGTAAATAATAAGTTTCCTCACTCTGGTTAGTTTTATTGTATACCTTTTAAAAGATACCGTTTTTAAGAGCTACAAGCAGGCAAGAAAGATGTGTTATAATATTTGATTAATAATAAAATCAACGATCCCCAATGTAGGTAGGCCATTTGAAACGTAATATTGTACTGTTAACGCGATGGTCAAACGACGTCGATCGAAATCGTAAATGTTATTGAAATAATACGACCGGTGCGAAACACGTGATCGTTAGAACGCAACATAAATCATGGCGCGTTAGACGATTATTCTGATGGTCCTGTGCGCAAGTAATATAGGGTGTCCCCCGTAATCATAGGGTTCGCCGGCAAAAACGCCCCGGAGCTTTTCGGGTTATCAATTTCACCGGCAACTCGCAAACGTTTATCGACGTGCCTCGGCTCGCGCGTGTCCGTTATATGTTACATAACGGTTTTTGCAAAAATAATAATATCGTTCGCGGTGCAATAATAATACAGGGGTGCACGGGACGTTCCTCTGGTCCTCGTCGTCGTGCCTGCCGTTCGTGCGCGCGTTCGATCGACATCCCTACGGTTGCGCCCGATCGCGCGTACGTACACCGCCGCGAATACACGGCGCATGCTCGTGTTTGACGCGAGGTCTCGGCTGCGCGTTTGCTTCCGTAACCCGTCTGCAACGAGGCGTCCGACGTTCGTCGCCTCCGAGCTTTATTTTTTTTTTTATTATTTTTTATTTTTTTTTTATTTGTCTATTTTTTTTTTTCGATCACTGTAATTATTTGTTTTTCGTTTTCGTACCAAAATCGTTCGGTTTACAGTCACTACAGGAAAATAACGATATGTGATAAAACGTGCGTGCTGAAAAAAAACTAGTCGATTCAAACAGTAAGAGTTGATGACCGACACTTATTCGTGAGCAACCGTCGCCGCAGTGTTCGTATCGTGATAGTGAACCAAAAAACGCCAATATAACTTTAAGTAAGTACAACACTGTTAATAACAACACGATTATCGTTAGGGTTTGATTCGAACGTGCAACGTGATTACGGGGAAGGGGATTTTGATATACTAAGACATGATTTTTTTATTTTATTTTTTTTGCTACAATTTTTCTCTAACACCGCTGACAATAATGAAATCACATGAACGAGAAAATTATCTACGTGCCCCACGAATACAAACGATATTTCTGCACAGTTATTGCTAACTACTAATTAGCCAAGTCTTGATTCGAGTACGAATTCGTTTCGAACGAACGAATTCTTGTCGACATCGAATTTATAATGTTTATTATTATATATTATACTATAAAATATAAAATATCATATTTGTTATCGTAGTTATCTCGGCAACTCGTGGTAAACAATTTACTGAAAAAATAAGCAAATGTTTCAACACGGAATAACACGCGATTTTACGAATAATAATTATTGCACACCGATGTAGTTGTGACGACAAGGAAATGCGACTAGTATTACGTGTACGAAAACGCCAGGGTTTATTTTTTTTTCTGTTTGGTCATGAAACCCCGTCGTAGCAATTTCGTATGAAGGGGACGTGTCCGGGCGCGTACACGACGGCCACTTGACGTGACGTTTTACGAATTAAAAAACCATTTACATTTTATGTTCGCCACCGGTGTAACAAGTTATTACGTAAGCGTTATACGGTAGTGTATTAGGACGCACTAAGCGGGGTTGTCACGGTCGGTGCAAGACGGTAAGGGCGAAGGGACGAACGGACGGCGGTGGCGGAAGGAGGACCCGGAGGATTCGCGTGCGACGGGATTTCCGTGGTCTGTACGTGTTTTATAAGGAAGAAAAAGGGATCAATACGCGCGACGAATGGTCCAGGGGTAACGGCGGTAACGGCGGTGACGTCAAGTCACGCGCTTACAGTGACGTCATTACATCGCCGCCTTCGTGACCGGGTCACAGGGATGAATAATGATCGGCGCAGACGTCGCCGGCATCGGTCGTTTACCGTGTGTACCTGCGTATGTGTACGTGAGAGTGCGCGCGTGCGTACGTGTACGTGCGTGGGTGAGGGTGTGTGTATGATGTGTGTCTGTAGCTGCGTGTGTGTATGCCTGTGTGTGTGTGTGTTTGCGCAAACGCACGCGCTTGTACGGACGCGCTAGGTGTTTGTCGTCCGGCCTTAGCACCGACGCTAGTAGTAACATATTATTCTCGCCACGGTTGCAGACGTGGTTCGGTGGCGTGCCGGGCCGGGGCCATGGACAGGGCCGACCGTCTAGCCCGTAGCTTGGAACTGGAGAAGGCGTACGTGCACGACACCTACCAGGAGATGTATCATCCCGCGCACAAGACCAAACCGTGGCCGAAAGTGACACAGTTCCTGCACGACTTGGAACCCGGATCCCTTGTGTGCGACATCGGTGAGTACAACACCTACACTGTTCTTCCAGTTGTCCGTCACGATCCGTCTGCTTTCCGAGCCATACCGATTAACAAATAATCACTACGCTATCGCTATCGAATTCGATCGACGACCGGCTCGAACAACCCTTCCTCGTTAACGTATATTTATATTATAAATATGATTATAATAATATATTTATAATTATTATTATTATTATTATTATTATTATTATTGTTGTTGTTGTTGTTGTTGTTGTTGTACGCGAGTGTTATGATGCGAGATAGCGGCCGAAAAGTACATAATATTGTACCCACGCTTTATTGAACCTAAACACTGTAAAGATTATACGAGTATAGGGTTTATATTGGTTTATATATGACCGGTGTATATTAAAACGTTAAATTTAATTAACTTCTAAGGTTTAATTAACTCTGAAACGTATACTTGTAAGTTTTGAAATTGAAAAGTGACTCATCATGTACGAAAATTTTGTTCTGGTTTTATATAATGTAAAAAATAATTATATTAATTATTATTTCCAATCCCTTTCAAAGTTAAAGAATGAAAAAATGAATTTACGTTTTACGGTAAATTCATGATTTATGTTTGACCGTTTAAGTCATTCGTTTTGGTAACAAAAATCATTAGAAAAATACACACATGTTGTGCAGGACTGATCATGAATATTTAAATATTTGATATTAGATAGTTAATATGTTACATCTAAGATATATATATATATAGATACTAGCATTGTCATTAGGTAACCAATATATCTGTTTAATAAACAATACAATTGATGTTTACCTACATTATTTGCAAATTAAGTCATTCATTTTTCGTCAGCTTATGGTTTTTCTAACCATAAATATCGCTATCCACCATAGTATTTGTAACTTTATGTTGTTACACATGTTAGAAGACACATGTAAAATCATTGTATATTTTTTTTAATATTTAAAAATTACTACTAAGGAATGGTAAAGTTTTTATGTAAACATTAAAAGTTTATATGACTCTGTCCTTTCATCAAAAAACTGTAATTAAGTTTTTACATAATATAAGCTTATATTTGATAATTTATTTAAGAATTTAATTTAATACATGATATTTATAAAATAAATAAATAGTTTCGTGTTCATAAAAATAATTTATAAACAAAGATCTTAATATTTATTTAATATTCTGGTAAGCACAAAATAATTTATCTCAAAATATAATAGTTTTTGTAATCCAAATATCAAGTAATTTGGTAGTATCATGGCCAAGCAGGATAAAACGACTGTAACTAAATGCACAGTTGGTGGTTCGAACCTGGCCTCCAGTAGTGTCGATCTCCGGGCGGAAAATACCCATTTTAAAAGAAGGAACCCCATCTTAAAAGTTAGGATAATTGATTTTCAAGGAAACGGAAACAATTAAAATATTTATACAATTACTTTTTACTTTTTCTTGATTATCTTCTCTGCGTTGAATTTCTAGTATGTACATTTATGATATTTATATAAAAAATGTTTTTTTCTTTTTTTGTTAAAAAAAAGTGATTACATACCAAACAAAAATTTTTTTTCTAAATCATCACTTTAAAACCAACGGAATTTTCGCTTTTGTTGAAACTAAAAATTCAATCTATAGTGTGATTTTTTATAAAACCATTTCCAATTGAATGATATGACTTACAAAACGAATGAAGCATTTTCAAGAACACTTTAGTACAAACCCAAATAATTGTATTTGATTAAAACCTATAAAGTAAACCACTGCTCTTATTCCGATTAAAATTTTCTTCGTAGTTATTAATACCGTACCTGTTGATATTATTTAACAATCAAACTAAAACGATTTATGAAAATGATTTTGATTAAAAACTGTATTACAAGAAGTATTCAGCATACTAAAACGTACGCATTGTTATTTTGAATTTTTTTTTTTTATCAAATTAGGTTGTGGAACGGGAAAATATTTATCGACCAACCCACATGTGTTCAAATTAGGTGTCGATCGTTGTCTGAGATTAACTGAAATAGCAAGAAGTCAAGACAGTGAAGTAAATATTTTAGTCTGATAATATATACGCTTTACCGGTGTAATAAATCAGTAATGTGTTTAGTTGTTATTAATAAATAACTGTACTCTGATGATTGAAATAGGTACTAGTGTGTGACAATCTAACGTTACCATTCAAGGACTGTAGTTTAGATGCTATATTATCTGTAGCTGTTATTCATCATTTTTCAACGACAGAGAGACGAGTGAGTGCCTTACAAGAACTAGCCAGGGTACTTAGAATCGGCGGTCGTATGATTATCACAGTATGGGCTATGGAACGACGCCATAGAAAAGTATTGCGATAGATTATAATTTATATTATATATTTATATATAGGTAGAAATTTGATAAATTGATTCTAAATAATGTTTATTTTTCCAAGTTTGAATCTCAAGACGTTTTAATGCCCTCGCAAAAACCTTGTAAGAATATAGAAAGTGAATCGACAGAATTTTCAACAACAACAACCACTTCGGACGAAGAGTATATTAGCACAAGGAAAAAGTCAAATTCTGATTCAATGACGTTAGTAGTGATTAGAAATACAATATATTAAGATAATATTTTTAAAAAGAAAAAAAAAATGTTTTTTTTAATCAAATTATGACTAATAAGTAGGAGTAGCAAAGTGTGTTGCGAAAGAAAAAATAGGCGTAAGGAACAATCGAACTCGAAAAAAGGAATTGCCAGCTCTCCCAGTAGTTCTAGTTTATCGAGTCCCGCGAACGAAACCTGTTACAGTTTTGTTCGAAAAGCAATTCAGGTTAATTTTTATTATGATTATGTTCAAATACCGTGTATGCGTTTAACATTTATTGGCTTTGTTACAGAAGCTTGCCGGTTCAACCAAGCGTGGTAAAGTTGCATCAAAACCCTGGTTCGTGAGTTCATGGACATCGCTCTACGGTAACGAATTGCCATCAGCATTACGTTCAGATCCCGAAGGATGTGAAACTTGCAATGAAGACGTACAAAATGTTCCTATAGAACTTAGACGAATGGAAGATTCACCGGACTTAATACCATTATTTAACCGAACTCCTACACTCAAATCTAAAAGTTTGAGTGATATCAAGAGTGCTGCGGAGAAACCAATGGTTCGGTCAAGATCAAGTATACCTGAATTAGAAAAGTCCATGCCGTTAACTCTTTCTAAACCTAAACTAGTAAAACAAAAACAATCATTATGCGATGAGGATGCGGAAGAAGATAGAGATAAAGCTACTGATATGAAAGACTTGGTAAATAAACTACCACAATTTGATGATGGTAGCGGCTCAAGAAGACATAGATATAAGAGCAATGAAATAAAACAAAGATCAATGAACGAAGAACTTATGTCAGTAGAAAGGCTCAAAGAAAAAGAGATAGTACAGAAAAACATTCAAAGACAAGCATCATTAAACGAAGAGCTCATGTATAAAACACGTACGTTGGAATCGATTAAAGATACATTACAATTGCTCAAAACTGGGTTCACAAAAACCTTTAAGAATCCATCCAGTCAGGTGTCTGATAACATTAAAAACGGGCTTAGTAGAATGCTAGGGTATAAAGAAGATAGCGAAGAAAAGGTTAGTGATGAGAAAAAAATAGAAATGCCTGTTCCCGCATTACTGACAACAACGTGTTGTGATGGACGCAGAAGTTCCCGTGAAGACGGTTCTTCAGAAGATTCCTCAAAAGATAGTCTACAGAGTGATGCTAGTGTTGATTCTGAGGACAGTTTAAGTAGTTTAGCATCCGTTATATTTGTAAACGCAACCGGAGGATCGGATAAGACGTGTTCGCCGCCTTTAGTCGAACAGCAAGCAAGGACAGCTCCGTGTACACCTACAGCTAAATCTCAAAGTCAATATAGATCGTCTTCACATCCTAATACACCGAAAACGGCACCTATTCATCCGTCGCATTTTAGATTACCCTCTCGATTTAATTCTCAAAATGGAAACGAACCATATCAATTAAATTTATCAACGGAACAACCAGTTGACGATATTTTGAAACCCATAAAATTATCACCAGTAAAAACAGCGATAGAAATGAAGCTCAAAAGGGAACAAGAAAAAGATCAAGAATTAGAACGAAGAGATCATGTTTGCGAAGGAGGTGATCAAAATGCACGACCTAAAGAAAGAATAAGTGCAGAAAAACTTAAACAAATTCAAGACCTTCTATTAAACACCAAACCAGGTATACAAGCGAAATACATTTTTAGCGATTAGACTTAAGTTTAAAATTGTTGTGTTTCTAGTTACCGGCCGAAATCGACTACCAAAAGCAGATCGAACTTTTTCTGGTCTACGAGGAAGACACTTTATTAAAACAGTAGAAGAAACATTTCATCCAGAAATCGACGATATAGATAGTGATTTTGAATCATCATCTTCCGATTCTGTTAGTAGTGTTATTAGTGTAGTCGTGGAAGATGAACGCAAAATGACAGGTTTATTAATTTTATATGACTGATCCAATTAAAATGCATTACTTTTTTCTTTTCTTACATTATATCTTGAAAATCATTGATATAATTATAATATAAATATAATATAAATACTATAATATAAATTAAATAATAATATTTATATAATATAATATAAATTATTTATATCATTGTAGATGCTGAATTTGATGAACCAACTGACATGGAAACATCAGCAGATCCCACGGAAGGCATATCTGTGGAATGTTCTGATTCAGAACAATCTTTTCCTTCAGAAACTGGTGCAATTAAAGAAGAATCGGACTCTAATGAACACCATGATCGTAAAAGAATTCTGATTCATAAAGATCATAACCCTATAGAAGACTCTAACCAAAAAGAAGATCCTAATGCTAAAGAAGATCTTAAAATCAACGAAGATATTATCACAAGAGAGTATCCTAACACTAAAAAAGATAGTAAAACTAAGGAATTTAAAGAAGAACAACCAAAACGCACTAATCGGTGGAGTCTACAAGAACATCCAAATAAAGGAACACCAGTTCGAAACAGTCCTAGCCTGGGCTCTATATCAAAACATAAACGAGTCAACAAGTGTTCCAAAGATGAGCTTTCAGAATTACCAGAAACTTGGGATGAAGAATGTCAAAAGCATTTGGTAGACTTCGCTGAAAGGTAAGCTTTTATCATTATTATTGTAATACATGTTTAAAAGAGCAACGGTTTTGTGACTTTTTTTCTCTGTGTTAAAAAAGATTAAACAAAGAACTACGGGCTGCAATAGACATGGAGTCAGCGGAAGAGTCTAAGAATGAGCACGAAGAAATAATAGATACACCCGAGAAAGTCGAGCTTATGCAGTATTTTCACAAACTAATGCATCCGGAAGAAATACTATCAGATCCGTCATCCTCCGACGGGCAGTTCGAAGACGAGCCGATGGATTACCATCGAATAGAAATATTGGCCGGATCCGATGCACCTCGTAGGCCTAGCATTTCCATTGAAACGCAAGACTCCGTGGACAAAGTTCTGCGGAGTCGCGAAGGTTTCAGATCGCGTCACTACCGAATGTCCGTCGATTCTGCGGAAGACCGGCAGAATGCGTCGTCGTTAGAATTGGAATACGATTCGAGACGTGACACCGTTTCCAGCAGTCAAGCGTCACTTCTGCGCCCGGGAAACTCGCTGGAGTCAAACGACACCGCCGATACGCACACCACGACACAGAGCACGACTTCGCTTACGTCCTGGAGTGATTGCAGCAAGGACACAAGGTTTGCAGACAGGAGACAAGCGCGTTGCGATGGCCGCTCTTCGTCGGAGGAAACGGATCCGCGGCGAGCCGCTGTCCTGGTACGTCAACACGCAGCAGTTGAAACCCAGGAGACGTTGAAAAGTGACGACACCAGCTTGTCTACTTCGCAAGAATCATTGTCCGAGAACGGAGGCGGGTCGATAACATTCCACAGGTATTATCATGTATTCAAAGAAGGTGAACTGGATCAACTGATCGAGAAATATGCTGATAATTTACACATAATTTCGTCGTATTACGATGAATCGAATTGGTGCGTGATCGCCGAGAAAGTTCAGGTTTGGACTATTTAAAACTAATTATTAAATTAAAAAAATAATTAATTTAAAATATGGTTTCTAACCTATTTATCTGTCACGTAATATAAATGCGGCCAAAATAATTTTATAGTATGTCATTATTAGTATTCTTGGTAAATGTATATTAAATTAATACCTATACCTATTTATTGTTTTAAATCTCATACATTTTCAATTGGTGTCATTGTTTATGTCATAGCTCATTGTTTAAATTTAATAATTTATTATCGATTTTGGTATAGAATTATGTATTATCTATTTAACTATATTAATTATACTATTATGTTTAAGATTCCACATTCAAAATTAAATTAGTTTTAAAAATAAAATATTCAGTTGCGTACAAATGGTGATAGAGTTCTGGATAAATCCGCCAAGAACTAGAAAAATCTCGTTTTTAAATGGCTAAAGTGAAAAATATGCACATCGTAAATATTTTAACGGCTAGAAGCCGATTGAGCACGATAGACTTTTTTCACAACTCAATTGAGCACGGTTGAAATCAAACAATAGGAACGCAAAAAAACCCAAAAAAACAACACGATTGAACATAAAGTAAATGCAACGTAGCCACTTTGTACCGTAAAATATTGTTATTAAAAAATAAAATACATTTAAACACAGATATTTATAAATTAAAATCTTTTATCGGTTTTTTCTCAATCAAATAAACCTGCACTTGAAAGCTGCCAACCCTTAGTTTCTCTCGGATAAAACAATTTATATTATATTATTTTCCACCATAAAATCATAAAATTTGCAAAATATACACTATTTTTGAAGGAACACGAGCCCGAGACAACAGAACAGACTGACCTAGTTTTATTTACAGCGTAGGTACATATAATAACAGTTAATCACAGTTTATTGCAATTGTTGTAGATAAAATTCTGATCTTATCTATCCCTAACCTATCGATCGATAGTAAAACATTTTCAACTAATATGTTAGTTACCTATTAATAATCTACTAAACATATGTGCTATTGAAAATCTGACAGTATAGACAGTATTTATTTATTATTTATCGTGTTCAATCGGGTATCACCGATTTTAACGAGTGTATAAAATTTAGTATTTGTCAATTATGATGAAATGACGAAAACATTAATTTTTCGTCCTAGGAGGTATAAAAAAAGACGTTTTATATTCACAAAAAACTATGTATATAAGTTTTCCCCTTCCCCACATACACACACACAAAAAATAAAATTGAATGTACGTAATTGATCATGTTAAAGTACCACATACTCAAGTTTTCATTATAATAAGCCTTACAGTGATGTAATTATGAAATATTAAAATACGATGATATATTGATATTATGTCGAGGCTCACTTATTTTTTAAGGGTTTCTTTATGATTGTATTATAAACATTTTTCATCTAATAACTTTATATGTTTGAAAAAAAAATTAAAATAAAGTTTTTTTAACAAACTTATTTGATAGCATCTCTATTAAGAATATTTCATAGTACCACTGTACCTATGATTATATATTTCTTGTTTTTTATGTCTTTCAGTATACATGCATATATTCGAAATTAAATTTGTAGCCAGTAATATCACAGATTAAATAAAACCAGATAGTGCACTTAAGGATAGAACAATAGATTTCTAGATAACAGTATCTAATTGGTTACTGCGCGTTGCAGTAGGGCCAAAACAAAGAAAATTAAATATTGTGGATACAATTTACAATAATATTGTATACAGATAAAAAGTTGATAAAAATATTTATTAATAATATTGTTATAATAATATAATATTATACATAATTAATTCACAAATCATCCTGCACACTTCTCAACCTCCCACGCAAAATCAAATCTGGAAACATAATATGTTGTATATGTTGTATAGGTACTACCAATAGACTGAAATGTAACGAATTTAATTTTTTTTTTTTGGCCACACTGATTTAAGAAGTACACAAATTTGTTTACAATTTCACTATTTCGATAGTGCACTATCTGGTTTTATTTAATCTGTGGTTATATATTTTATTTCTAAAAATTATTTGTACGAATTTGAAATAAGTTTTCAATTTGAATTTATCTTGATGTGAACAACGAATAATTAAATTGAATCAGTTATCAGTTGTAATGCAATTCAATACAAATTTCAATTAATTCTTATAGTTTTTTCTTTTCTATCTAGCTGCCAAAACAGTTACAATGCGTTATGAGAATATTTAAAAAAATTCGTTTTTATAAATATTATCAACACCATATTTTGAAAATGATTAAACCAGCACTTTCTGTAAAATTAATTTCTTAAAACAATCATATTATGTACATATACATATTATATTACATACGCAAATAAATTTAAGTAAGTAATTATTGTCGTCAAGAATAAACCACATTAATTTAAACACTGAAGATGATCATTAATATCAAATTTTTAATAAACGACTGAGCTAAAACAAAATTTGTTTTTACTTACAATAAAACGACTTAAAATTAATATTTTAATCTTAATTCACATACAATGAGAATTATAAATATATGTTTATTTTAATATTTGTCTTCCAGTTAAAACTATTTTCTTTGCTCTTAGCCGTACAGTAATTAATAGTAAATAAACTAAAATTAAATTTACAAAATTGATCGTGTTACGTAATTTATGGCTAATAGTTTGTATGATGTTGTGAAATGAATGGTACTGGTTCTTTAATTATTCAGACTTAATACTGCCATTAACTTATAGTTGTTAATATATATAAGGTATAAATAAAAATAATATATATATATTTAATAAATATATTCTGACTAATAATTATAACGATATTTATAATATATAATGTTTAAGGTTATAGGTATAATATTATATTGTGTAATAGATAGAGGATATTAGATCATTTTTAACGAAATAAAATCAACTGTTGGGTTAGTTAAATTTTGTTTAAAAAAACATACTTGAATTATTAATACATTAAGAGTACTATATTATATTATTACTATTAATATATTACAAGTACTACATTATTGATATTAAATGTTTAAATCATATTTAAAAAGGGAATTAAACCATAGAATGTTTCTTTAAAAATTGTTTATCTACTGTGATTATGACTTAGGTTTATTGATTTAATGATATATTTATTATTATTATAATCATTATTATTATTATTATTATTATTATTATTATTATTACTGTCATAATTATTACTATTATCTATATGTGAACGAATTTAAACCTCCGACTGCATTTGAACTTTAAATCTATTGTAATATTATATTATACTGTTTTTAATACAATAAAACAAGAGATTGATCGGTATTTTAAATTTATTTTCATCTTTTCTATCCATTGTAGTTGTGAACACTCATAAAACCCGAAGAATTAAAGGTGTGTTCATTAGGGTGCTGAGTATATAAATATATAATGAAAACAAGCCGAGAACAAAATTGTTTGCAAAAAAAATTGCATTCCGTGATCTAGATTAATTTCAATTTCCTAGCCTGAATTTACTTGTTATTGGTTTTTTATTGCAACACAAATAAAAATAACTATTAATAAATATAAATAAAATTATATGAAAAAATGTAATACTTACAGTCTATTTGTATAAAACTTGTGTAGAAATATGTAGGAAAATTTAAGGGCACTATGTTTTTTTATATTCTTTATTTAATTGTTTCAAAATTTTTATATATAAAAACGAGTGTCGGTTAAAATGGCACGAAAAATCGCAATGATTTAAAATCATGAAATGTGTATTATTTCTTAAGCAATGATTACGTAGTTGTTAAAAATCATAAACCTTATACTAAAAGATGGAGATCACTGGTTGGCGGGGTTGGGTAGTGCGATCACGGCTATTCTCATACCAGTGTTGTCATTTCTGACGACATAAAATATGTTTATTCTCATGTTTATAAAGTATATTATTATTAAAATATTTAAAAATCAATTTACCAAATAAATAATCCCGTAAATTTAGTCTCCAAAAATATAACCCTATAATAAAAATGATTGTGTTTCTACCTAATTATAAATGTATAATACAATAAATATCATTTGTATATGTATGCTTATCATACAATAATTTTTAAAGCGCAACAAACGATTTCTGAATCTGAAATTCTATAGCGCATGTGCGTAGTAATTAAGTAATAGTAGAACAGCCATAGATAATAGAAGAAGTTAAGAAGAAGAATAAGAATTCTTCTATCTATGAGAACAACACACTCACGTTTGACCACTGAAACTATACCCATCTTCCGTCTATTAGTATAAGGTCTATGGTTAAAATATACAATATTTTTCATTTAATTATGTATCTGTTGCAAATTTATGTTTCGTATGTTACGCAGAACTTACATATCACTTGTTAAAATGCATTTTTAGGTATTTCATTCGAACAATATTAATCACTGGTCGAAACTTGTTGGTTTAAATTATAATTTATTATAATTTTTAAACCTTTGTAAACAATCAGTTCTATATTTTATGCAATTAGTCCACAATTAAAAAAAAATTCTTTATGGGAAAATATTATTTGATTGTTGAACATCACTGCATTTTATTATGAGACTGTGATAATGCAGAATTTGTTCACTTGCGAAAAAATTGAATCATTACTATCGTATAATACAATTATTTCTATAATGTGTTCACCCTGACATTAGTGTTGGTTACATTGCATTGAATATAATCGAATTAGCAGTCATCACAATTAAGATATACTGGATCTTGGATGATATACTATTATTTAAGAGCCACAGTGTATATTTTTATTGCCAGTATTAACACGAGTCTCTTGATGATGTATTTAAAGTTAGCCATACACGATCCGGTTTGCCGGAAAGGTCGGACTGCGCAGTTTAACCTGCACAGTTTTAACCGATTTCCGACGACGACATACACGCCACGATTTGCCGGATACGCAGGACTACGCAGTCACACGCTTTCCGGCCAATAGTCTTCAGCTGCGAGTCGTCGAATGTTCAAAATATTTATATTTTTTGGCTTTTTTTTTCAATCAAATTCTCATATTCTTCATATTTTTTTTTCTTTTCGGATGCTGCTTCTTAAATTGTTGATTTTCTTTACCACTAAATCCTTGTTCGCATCTGGTTCAGATTCTTTTAATTTGTCTACTAATACTTTGTAAGCCGCTTCCCTTAGTGGGCGGTCATGGTAAAGCTTAGATTTTGTTTGCCACAGACATGGATATGATTTATATAAATCTATAAATTCTTCCAAATTCTTATTGTTCATTATTATATTATATAATATAATTCAATAAAATATGTATGATGTAATATAGTAAAATATGTTAAGTTGTAATAAATTGTAAAATAAGTTACAATGACAACAAACAAAAAAAAACAAAACCTAACCTTCAATAAACATGAAAAATACTATGCCGCAAAAGTGAACCAGCCGGTCGAACGACGGTAATACCATACCAACACACGGGCACACACGATCCGGTATGCCTGTACAGTCCCCGAAAACTGCGCAAACTTGTTACACACACGTTCCAGAAAAACTGTGCAGTCCGACCTCTCCGGCAAACCGGATCGTGTATGGGTAGCTTAAAGTGCGCATGCGCGATTAGATTCCTCGTATAATTATCGGAATAGTTTGTTGCGCCTGCGCCGGCCGAATGAATGCCGACCAATCAAAATTCAATACACTGATTACTTAATTGATAAACATGCGAGGAATAACATTGCGCATGCGCACCCAATTAAGTGACCCGTCGTCTTCATTGGTAACAACTTTATTACATTGATTAATTGGGAATAGCTCCATCCATAGTACATGATCTAACTACTAGGTACCCAACAAGCCAATAATAACAATTATGTTAGAGGAACCCAAAGTAATTCGCCAAAACAACTGTTCTAAAGTATATCTAGCGCTTGTTAACATATTAATGGCAATTTGTACAAGTATATAGACTGATTGACTGACTTGATCGATTTACCATCAAAATTTGTTTCTAATTATAAAAATAACAATGCATGATTATTACTTTATTTTTCTAAATCTAAAATGATTTTTTTTTCTGAATCCAAAATAATATTTCGTACAATTGTATATTGTTATCAATTACTGATATATTTTATCACTGAATATTAATTTTATCTACTCACAACGTTGTAAGAAATTTGAAATCGAAGTCAGATTGAGACACGGATTAAGATAATAGTATTTATTATCCATGGTTTGAGGTTATCCACATCATCGGTCGTTGGATATCCAGTAGAGATCGAAAGTCCAATTAAATTTAAGGAAAAGTTCCTTAATTCAAAATTCACCGAAATTAATAGTGTTAAGAACCCCTTCTTGTTATAAAGTATTGCTTATTAGTTAGTAAGTACATAAATGCTGAGTCGCATTTTCATCGACAGCCGTCGCCATCGGTCTGCCGATGTAGCTCCGACAGTCGAGTACAGTCGAGCATAAACAACATACGCGAGTCGTCCGCATTAATATTAATAATTAAAACTTAATACTGTGTCATTATGATAAATTAATATATATATAAATAGTTCGTCAGTTGCTGTGTTTTTTTGTGTTAAACATTCCTATTTACGGACATATTTGTCTTCCGTTGGAGCTAACCGATGGGACATAACAATAGTTCAAATTAACTAATCTTTAATTAACATAGTTTACCAAGTTTACTAGTTTAAATGATTCATATATTTGATTTCACAAACTATGTGAACTATTTCTCTTATCGCTAATAGTAGGTCCTACAAATAGTCATATTAGTCATCAATAATCATTTTTAATGTAAAGGCTTGTGATAGTAAATTGTCATTTTTTTTTCAGTAACAGTAGCAGTTAAAATAACAGTGAAAACAGCAGTTATTGCTACTTCATGTACCTATTTATATGTACGGTTAAAATAAAAAAATAAAAATAAAAATTAGAAACTATTTAATAAGCTGTTTATTTATATAATTTAAAAAGTAATAAATCTTAAAATATACAAATGACTATGGGAAAAATAAAAATAGTATCATAATACAGTAGACATTTATTGACAAATTATATAAAAAAATAATAACTAAGATAACAACATTTTCCAAAATATTAGTAACTGACCGTAATAAACAAAAATGAATTTAACATTTTTTAAATTGATATTTAATGAAAAGATATTTTCACTCACTATAATAAATTATTGGAGAATAATACTCATTGTTTTTTAGTCTAAGACTTATTCATTAGAAGAAGAAAAAAAGATTTCAATAACAAATTTATATGACCCAACATGATTAATCAATGAATTTAACTATATGTATTTATAAACATCTTAAATTTAAATAATGCACACAGTAAAATAATGAATTAATAATCATGTTTAATAAATACTATCTATAATAATAATAATAATACTGTGTTTGAACTAAAATAAAAATGAGTAACAGGAATAAATAAGTCGACAAAAGAAAAAAATAGAAAGAAATATTGTCTAGAGTAGATCATTTTACTCACAGTAATCATCACTTATCTCAGAATCATCGATAAATTTGACTACTGCAGAGGATATAGATTTAATAGTAAAAGATTTATCATGAGAGGCAGCTGCTTTTACATCATTTGTTTCAATAATCTTTGGTTCAAAAACAGACGTCGGTTGTGATTGTATCTATATTTAAATGATAGTTAAATTCAATACTTAATGTAAAAAACGTATCTTAAAAAAATACTTACAATAGAATTTGAAAGTTTATTATTAAGCTCATTATTAATAACTTTTAATCTCTGTATTTCTTGTTCTTGAGTATTTATAATTGCTGTTAAATATAAATCATTTCTCACTGTTTTACTGGGTACAATATGGTTTTTTTTTTCCGTAGAACATATACGTTTAATCCAGCGCTAAAAATATTGTGTTAACAAAAATAAACAGTTATTATTTTGTGAATTATTTTGGTCCAAAGAAAGGTCGAGATATAATAAAATCCCAACTTAACCAATATTTTTTACTGATTTATTACAAGAATATAGATTAATGATAGTTAAGACATTTTAGAAATTATAATTTCCTAACAAGTTAACATTTTTTTTTTTTGAATTTGTTATATACTGAGATTATAACAAAATGTTTGGAATAATATATACCATTTAAAAATTAAAAACTAAATTTTGCAATAGCCACGAGGGTCAATATCCTTTCTTTGAGCATTATAAAATCATAAAATAATACAAAACACAATTTTCTTTCTTTATTATTTTGTATCATAATGTAATAAACAACAAAACATAATATAATCTACCGTTTACAAATTAGTGATATTGTTATTACCTTTTAATTTAACCATGCATAATACAACATAAGTTTAATCAGAATAATTCTGATTAAATTTATTAATAATTATTGTTTTTTTTTTTAATGTGATGTTATAAAATATATTCTTAAAAACACGATTAACACAATGAAAAAACACTTTAGACCAGTATTTTGCCAGTTATTTTGATAAATGACAGTTTTTAGTCTTGTTAGTAGATAAACTGAATAAGAATATTAAGAAAATATTTTGAGAAATCAAAATATTTTTAAAATTCTCAATAGAGGTAATGTTTAAATTTACTTCTACTAGAAAACTTATTTTTACAAGCAAATTCTAATCCTTAACTTTTTCAAAGTCCATTTAATTGCAACTAAATGTAATGCAACTAATGCTACTGTATAAAGTAAAATTAATATACACTTGAAGTATAATGTATTATATAAGAATACATTAAAATTATTAAAAAAAAATTTAAAAAGCTTACAGTATGTCCTTTAGAATTTGTTAACTTTACAGGTTTTCCTTGATCAAGTGCTTTATATAATCCATCGATAAATTGTTCACCTCTAGATCGAAGCATTTCACATGCTTTCAATTTTTTTACTAACTCTTCATTAAGTTGTATTGCTTCTTTTTTGCCTTCCTCATAATCACGCAATCTTGCTTCAAGACACTTTAAACGTTGAATCACTAAATTAATATCCTAAAAAATAATAAAATTAAGATATGATAGTTGAAAGTTAATACAAATCTTCTTACTATCAATGAATATTTAAATAAAACAATTTTAAAGATATTTTTTAAATAAAATAATTAAATTTAGTTTGCTACAACAGAGTACTCCTCAATTTGTATGTTATATCAAATGAAAACATATTATATATATTATAAGCGGAAACTAATACTTGTTTGTAAAAAGGGAATAAAAAAAAATTGTCTTGGTCATATCCAAATAGTTAAATTGATCTTTCTAAGAATGTAATGCCCCAAAACGAAAATTATTCAGACATACTCAGTATGTTATATTTTATAAATGTTATAGACAGATCAAGGGTTATCCATTAACTATTCCAAGATGAATTATTACAGGAAGGAAATTGATAATTGTTCTCATTCAAAAATTACCTATAATTTATTTTTATTTTTTATTGTTTCATTTATTTATTAAATTTTATTTTATTTTTATTAGCTTTTTTTTTAGTAATACATTTATACATATAATATATATAATTAAATATTTATATTTTTATTATAATAAAAATATAGCCTTAGCTGATCAACATTATTATAATAATATATATATATATTAAATATGTATGTTGAATTTTGATACCTCGCATCAATTTTCCATATTCTTGAAGTAGCCACAGAAAATAATGATTAATGACCCCAAATAAGGGTTTTTTCAAATAATATTACAACTTTATATAAATTAGTTTAATAAATATAATTAATTTAGACTATTTTAAAGTTATAT